AAGCCGCTCCTAAACTTCCCATCGAAGTAGCTGCTAGCAAAGCTTCGCGCCTGGGACCTGTGAACGTCTCTTGGGGACCCCGGAGAAACGCCTCCACCTCGGGATGACCCGGAAGCGTTGCCACACCACCTGTGCGCATCCGGCTTCTGCACCTTCGAGAGCTCGTTGATCCTCTCCTGGGCTATGTCGCAAAGAGCACACTTCCCTTTGATCGATACCAGATGCCTCCATCCCGGAAAACTTTCGCCACAAAGTCCTTGAGCTTCTGGCTCTTGAGATTGAGTATGAAGCTCCCCAGCATTGTGGCGTCGTCCAGCCATAAAAACACGTTCATCACGTTGCTTGCGAGCTCTGCCACCTTCAGGTCTCTGGTTGTGACCACCCCGCAAAGCTTTGGATAGAGTTAAGTATCGTTCGTCCAACAGACGCGTTGAGCAGCGTCTTGCTTCCAGAAGCTTTCTATTCGACGAAGGGTGGAATTTGATCGTGCAGCCTCAGAAGGAATTGCATGGCTGGGCAAACTCATCCACGTCCCAGAGACCTCCCAGCCACGCACTCCATCACGCGAGCAGCTCTAGCTCCGGAGAAGCTTCAAAACGAGATCTCTCGGGGCATCCCATCCCAGAAACTTGGGGGCTCAAGCAACCACCTTTGCAACCTTAACGGACTTGATCGATCCCTTCAAAAGATATGTGATTGTGGGAGCTTTTTTCCTGTCCCAGCACCTCGATCAGCAGATAAACTTAGTTGGAATCACCCGAGTCAAGGCAAAGCTTGATCTTGATCAAGGGCAAAAGTTTCCGCTCCTCCTGTAGTGATCGTAGGAGCTCCTATCCGCAATATAGTACTTAACTAGATAAAACAAGGACGTAAAATAGAGCGAAGACTAGCCAAGAGAAAACGCAAACAACGAAAGAGTATAATATGTGTTTCCCCTGATTCGCAAACCAGCAGCTTGTACAAATCGGATCCATCCCCAAGCCACGAACAGCAATAGCAGCGACGGCTTGGACAGTGTGGCTGGAAAAATCGATCTGCCGTGTCGACCAGAGTCCGATTCCCAAGCCCATACGGCGGCGCTTCCTGGAGCGTAAAGGCGCCGTCCAGCGATATTGGAAGCGCTACCTCGCCGGGAGCGGGAGGTGACCATCGATGCTCCCTCCACACGCAAAGATCCCTGCGGCTTCTCGCATCGACCATCTGGGCCTTAGAACCCTAAATTCTTTGAGTTGGAGTTGGCATCCATGGTCTGGAAATTTTTGCATGAGCCTCCGAGGCAAAAAATCTACCAGAACACATGTTTCAAAATTTTATTCCAAAGATCTGCTTGGCTTGACTGCAATGGGGCTAGTGACCGTATACTTTCCGTTGCTCCATATCAGCTTCCCGAAAACATCCTTATCAATGTTTGAGTCGTCCTCCACTCTAAATATCACCTGGAATGCTTTCGTCTCGCCCTTGTGCTTGAACCGCAGCACCGATGGATGAACCGACACTGACACACTCTCTGGTGCCTCGATAGATGCTGTGTAGTTCGTCACATCATCGTCCACGTTCGTCACTCGCCTCTGCACGACTTTGCTGCGGCGCAAATCGGAGATGGCAATGGATGGATAGTTGAGGTCTGTGGGGTTGTCGGGACACTTAGCGGAAGTTTGCGTGAGGATCTGAAGTTCAGTCTGGTTGTATCCCAGACCGCAGAGATATCCAATGTAGTCTTGCTCGTCGGCGTCGTATACTAGGCCAGGGTGTGCAGCAGCATTTGGATTTACATGCCCTCCACCAAAATCAAAGGGTGATGCAGGAGCTCTTGATGAGTTCTTGATTGGTTCTCCAAGATTATCGAATGAGTAACCTGTTTTGTTTTGAAGTGTCAGTAACAAACAAAGATGTATCACTTAGTTACCTGTTGTTACTATGGCTGATTTGATTGCTGCTGGACTCCAGGCTGGACGATAGGATTTTAGTAGGGCAACAATCCCAGTGACGTGAGGGCAAGACATGGAAGTTCCAGAGTCGAATTTGTATGATATTTGAGAGTTGTTGAATTGTGTGTTTGCTGCTAGAATGTATACTCCTGGAGCTGTAATATCCGGCTGAAAGAACAAAAATCTTCAAAATCTACCAAAACAAATAGACAGAAAACATTGACAAACCTTGAGAATGTCTGGATCAATGAAGTTGGGACCAGAGGAAGAAAAAGGTGCCATGAAAGGAGCAGGCTTTTGATTTCTCAATGATATCTGATGCTGTATATCCGCTACAGGATTTCTGCCAGGCACACAAAGGTAAGAAACAGAAAGAAGAACGAAGATTTTACCTTGTAGATTTGATATATGAAAAGATGGCTTGTCCAACTTCTTCGTCGACATGAACTGAGGGAAGAAATTCATTTCCAGGATTTTGATCGACTAGAGTGGAGTTGCAAAAGATAATCCCAGCTCCGCCAGCTCGGGAAACTTCGAATGATTGGAATGCTGGATGCATCGGCCCTCTCAAGCATGCCACAATCTTTCCCCGGACTTTCTTGGGATCCAAAGACTGGCTCATACACAATTGCCTGCAGCATTAATATTTCTTTAACTCAAATCTATAGATTGATATTTTACCTGGCTGAAAAGTTGGAAGTTCGCAAGCCAACATCGGCCCCCGCAGCAAGATGATACCACCGCTTTTTTAATCTTTGCTCCGTCATACTTAAACCCCGAAATGATTTATTGTTGCCAAGGTAAAGGTCTCCAAAATAGGATCGATCAAGAGTGCTCGCTCCAACAGTGATGACCCAAGGAGCTACATTTTGCACAGAGCCAGGACCCACAGTTTGCTGGTCGTTTCCAGCAGAAGCTACCACCACAATGCCTTTCTGCATGGCATGGAATGAACCGATCGACAGTGCGTGCTGGAAGTAATCGCCCGATCCACTGATCGACGCAGAAAAAATATCTACGCCATCGTGGATTCCCATATCAAATGCGCTGAGAATGTGAGAATCCGGGCACCCTGCGCTGCCGTTCGTGATGTTTCTCCAGCAGATCTTATAGATCGCGAGGCGTGAGTCTGGAGCGCCACCTTTTGCAGTGCCTTTTGCGTAGCCAAGCCAGTTTGTGTTTCTCACGAATCGGCCTCCGGCAGTGGAAGCCGTGTGAGTTCCGTGGCCGTGAACATCTCTTGGAGAAAGAACTTCTTGGTGTGCTTTTGCATAAGCCTCAGGACCATCCTGTAGGCCGTGAGAAAAGAATCTGGCACCGATAAGTTTCCTGAAAGATCATAAGTTGAAAAAATTTTAATTCACTTGAGTGTTGTTTTTACTTGTTGCAGTGAGAAGCGTTGAATTGCTCCCCAGTTTCGCAAGTTCCTTTCCATCTTTCGGGGGTTGGTCCCATGCCATGATCCGAAAAGCTTTCCGACTCTGGCCATACTCCTGGGAAAACCAACATTAGTCCAAGCCCTCTCCCATGCTAGCAAAGTCGGCGGACCTTCTCCTGCCGACCATGAAAACAAGAAGAAGATGAAAGAGAGAAATACCTGAATCCAAAACACCAATGATAACGTCCTTGCCGAATTTTGATTTCTTCCATAACCACGATGATTCAGTAGCTTCACTAGCACCAAACAAGGATTTCTCTCCGCTTCCATAGAGTCCCAGAAATTCCCATGAGTTTGTGGTGTGGACCGTGTGGATTTCATTGCGAAAGACGGACAAGACGTTTGGGAGACCTGCAATATGGATAAAGATTATTGACTTAGATTATGTATAATGTTTCTATGATGCGTTACCAGAGAGTTTAGAAGCTTGTTCTTCTGTCAAACGAGCCGAGAAGCCACTAAATCCATGCCTGTAGCTAAAACCGATTGATTCTCTGGCAGCTTTGACACTGGAATACACGAATTTGGATGAATTCATAATTTTTTTCTTCTGGAGTTTTACCTTCCTAGAACATCCCCAAGGAGTGCGTGATGGGAGCTTGTAACAGCGTCTGGATGGAGGGATTTATCGACATTCCCCAAATAGACAATGTGAGTGTCTCCTTGATCTCGTCCCTGGAAATAAAATCAAACCAGCTTTAAAAGATTGTCTCCTGCGAGATAAGAAAGGTAAAGACCTGAGAGATGGAGATGGCACTTAAACTTAGAAGAACGTATAAACAGATTGAGAGCGCCATGAACTCGAAGAATTGTATTTGAGAATTGCAGGAAGAAGATGTAATCATTTATATTGGAAACTGCGGAAAATTTCCTGTGACGCGCATCTCAGGCCGGCTTGTTTGACTTATATGACTTATTCAGGAGAATTTGTCAAGGGCTAGTGATGGTAAAGTATATCACGAGTTTACAAATTATAGCTCTTTGAAATACGACTTATTCAGGAGAATTGTCGATGTTAAATTATATCACGAGAATTTAGCATCACTAGCTGACAGATTATAATAGTTCTTTCTCAGCTTGATTGATTTGCTCGGACAAGAAGGAAACACTCATGGGGAGTGTTCTTCATCCAGACGCTGTTAATACTGGTTTGCATCACGTACTTCTAGCTAGGAAGATGGGTTTAAGTAGTGGCTAGAATTTCAAAATCAAGATTATTTTGATATTGTATATTCTTTTTTATTATTTTATATACTTTAACCTCCAAGGCTTCAGCCAGTGAAGTTTATCCTTCAGTTCACGTGAATTGAAGGAAGAACTTCAAGCTATTGAATGCTTACAGTGCATGTTGGGGATGAAAAAACATCATTGTGTACATTAACCCTGAAATAGCCTCAGTTTAACTGGGACACCAGTCTTTGATAGAGTGATCTAGTGCTGTTTGTCCGCTAAAGCTGCAACTTTCAGTATAAGCCCAATTGCACAGCATCTTTTTCGCAATGTTTCTTGCCATGGCAGGCAGACCAGACAAGGCTAAGCCCTAAACCATTCCGGGCCATAGCGCGCCTCCTGGAAACGCTGGATTTCTTCCAGGATCAATGCTGGTAGATTTTCTTTTGGTGATCTTGTAGCCCTAACAAGATTTCTTCTTTGGATTTCATCTGACGAGATACAAACTTTCTTCTCGTGGTTGTGACCACCCCGCAAAGCTTCGGATAGAGGTAAGTATCGTTCTTCCAACGGACGCGTTGAGCAGCGTCTTGCTTCCAGAGGTTGATGAGCAGCTTGCAAACATCTCCCGTTCCAGCTTTCTACTCGATGAAGAACGGAATTTGATCGTGCAGCCTCAGGGCGAAGAGCATCTCAGCTATCGAGATTACGGCAGAAGAACACGAACTGGTCTAGCTCCGGAGAAGCTTCAAAACGAGATCTCTCGGGGCATCCCATCCCAGAAACTTGGGGGCTTGAGCAACCACCTTTGCAACCTTAACGGACTTGATCCCTTCAAAAGATATCTCGTGTAGTGATTGTGGGAGCTTCTTTCCTGTCCCAGCACCTCGATCAGCCGATAAACTTAGTTGGAATCACCCGAGTCAAGGCAAAGCTTGATCAAGCGGCAAAAGTTTCCGTTCCTCCTGTAGTGATCGTAGGAGCTCATATCCGCAATATAGTACTTAACTAGATATATGAGCCAAGCCGAGAAGTCCGAAGCTCCCTCCACTCCACCATGTCCAGAGCTCCTTCAAGTCCTGCCCCGGCAAACGAGCTCGATGCTCTTGCGTTTCTGCCAAAACACCACAGCAGCACTGCAGTACCGGTACGTTTCCTAGGAGCTCCACCACCAGCCTGTCTTGATCTTTTAAGTCCAGAGAAGCAAAGATTTGTCTCCGTGTACACAAAAGACCAACTTCTCTAACGACGAATTTGCATCCTGGATCTAAGGTGCGAGAGATGACTTCACTCGTAGCACAGTCGCGGTACTAACTTCGCACAGAGCTCTGTTGGATCTAACGTTCGTCTTGCGTACCAGGTTGAAATGCACGCACACCTTCCTCGTCTCACTGGCTGGATTTCATGCTCGCAGTCGGCAAAGAAGACGGTGTCCTTGAAGCCAGCGTCAAAGTGAGGTTGCCATGCTGAACCACGAGAGCACCTCCCTGGCAACCATGCAGGGAGCTGGAGTATGAGAGTGGCAAACATGCCAGGCTCCTTCTCGATGTCTCGGTGTAGCTTGAACTGTCCATCTTGTGAAAGAACAAGATCAGATTCCTTCTACCAAGTATAAGAAAGACCCACGCAAAGAGAAACTAGCTATGAAACACTGAAATCTAAACACGTAAGAAATCAAACAAGGACGTAAAATAGAGTGAAGACTAGCCAAGAAAAAACGCAAACAACGAAAGAGTACGAGGAAAGAGAGGAAATGGATAATATGTGTTTCCCACCTGATTCGTAAACCAGCAGCTTGCACAAATCGGATCCATCCCCAAGCCACGAACAGCAATAGCAGCGACGGCTTGGACAGTGTGGCTGGAAAAATGCGACAAGACTTTGCCACCATCGATCTGCCAAGCTCTTCGCACGGCTGTGTCGACCAGAGTCCGATTCCCAAGCCCATACGGCGGCGCTTCCTGGAGCGTAAAGGCGCCGTCCAGCGATATTGGAAGCGCTACCTCGCCGATTCCTTGCACACCATCGATGCTCCGTCCACACGCAAAGATCCCTGCCCCAGATCGACCATCTGGGGCCGTAGAACCCTAAATTCTTTCTTTCTTCCTGTTCTCTTTGCCATTAATATCACTTGACCGAATATGCTTTTGTGGGTCACAATGGAGAACATAAAAAATGGCGTGTGTTAAAAGGGTGTAGTTCACATGGTAGAGCAATTGCTTCGCATGCGATAGGTAAGGTGATCAATATTGCCCCAAGATTATACTAATAATGATTAAGCTCCAATGGATGTTCGCTGACAGTTGGAGCACTTGGCATCCATGGTCTGGAAATTGATTGGCTTTTGCATGAGCCTCCGAGGCAAAAAATCTACCAGGCAAAAAAATCTACCAGAACACGAATGTTTCGAAATTTTATTTTATGTTCGAAATTTTATTCCATCCCAAAAATTGCTTAAGATCTGCTTGGCTTGACTGCAATGGGGCTTGTGACCGTATACTTTCCGTTGCTCCATATCAGCTTCCCGAAAACATCCTTATCAATGTTTGAGTCGTCCTCCACTCTAAATATCACCTGGAATGCTTTCGTCTCGCCCTTGTGCTTGAACCGCAGCACCGATGGATGAACCGACACCGACACACTCTCCGGTGCCTCGATAGATGCCGTGTAATTCGTCGCATCATCGTCCACGTTCGTCACTCGCCTCTGCACGACTTTGCTGCGGCGCAAATCGGAGATGGCAATGGATGGATAGTTGAGGTCTGTGGGGTTGTCAGGACACTTAGCCGAAGTTTGCGTGAGGATCTGAAGTTCAGTGTGGTTGTATCCCAGACCGCAGAGATATCCAATGTAGTCTTGCTCGTCGGCATCGTATACTAGGCCAGGGTGTGCAGCAGCATTTGGATTTACATGCCCTCCACCAAAATCAAAGGGTGACGCAGGAGCTCGTGATGAATTCTTGATTGGTTCTCCAAGATTATCGAATGAGTAACCTGTTTTGTTTTGAAGTGTCAGTAACAAACAAAGATGTATCACTTAGTTACCTGTTGTTACTATGGCTGATTTGATTGCTGCTGGACTCCAGGCTGGACGATAGGATTTTAGTAGGGCGACAATCCCAGTGACGTGAGGGCAAGACATGGAGGTTCCAGATAAAAATTGGTATGGTACTTCAGAATTGTTGAATTGAGTGTATGCTGCTAGAATGTATACTCCTGGAGCTGTAATATCCGGCTGAAAGAACAAAAATCTTCAAAATCTACCAAAACAAATAGACAGAAAGCATTGACAAACCTTGAGAATGTCTGGATCAATGAAGTTGGGACCAGAGGAAGAAAAAGGTGCCATGAAAGGAGCAGGCTTTTGATTTCTCAATGATATCTGATGCTGTATATCCGCTACAGGATTTCTGCCAGGCACACAAAGGTAAGAAACAGAAAGAAGAACGAAGATTTTACCTTGTAGATTTGATATATGAAAAGATGGCTTGTCCAACTTCTTCATCGACATGAACCGAGGGAAGAAATTCATTTCTAGGATTTTGATCGACTAGAGTGGAGTTGCAAAAGATAATCCCAGCTCCGCCAGCTCGAGAAACTTCGAATGATTGGAACACTGGCTGCATCGGCCCTCTCAAGCATGCCACAATCTTTCCCCGGACTTTCTTGGGATCCAAAGACTGGCTCATACACAGTTGCCTGCAGCATTAATATTTCTTTAACTCAAATCTATAGATTTGATATTTTACCTGGCTGAAAAGTTGGAAGTTGGCAAGCCAACATCGGCTCCCGCAGCAAGATGATACCACCGCTTTTTTAATCTTTGCTCCGTCATACTAAAACCACGAAATGATTTATTGTTGCCAAGGTAAAGGTCTCCAAAATAGGATCGATCAAGAGTGCTCGCCCCAACAGTGATGATCCAAGGAGCTACATTTTGCACCGAGCCAGGCCCTTCACGTTCCTGCACGTTTCCAGCGGCAGCCACCACCACAATGCCTTTCTGCATGGCATGGAACGCTCCAATGGACGTAGAATCAAGGAAGTAATCATCTGCTAAACCACCAAAAGATGCAGAAATGATATCCACGCCATCGTGGATTCCCATATCAAATGCGCTGAGAATGTGAGCGTCTTCACACCCTACGGTCCGGGCCGTGACGTTTCTCCAGCATATCTTGTAGATTGCGAGACGTGAGTCTGGAGCTCCACCTTTTGCAGTGCCTTTCGCGTAGCCAAACCAGTTTGCGTTTCTCACAAATCGACCTCCGGCAGTGGAAGCCACGTGAGTTCCATGGCCTTGAACATCTCTTGGAGAAAGAACTTCTTGGTTTGCTTTTGCATAAGCCTTGGGACCATCCTGTAGGCCGCGAGAGAAGAATCTGGCACCTATAAGCTTCCTGAAAGATCAAAAGTTGAACAAATTTAGATTCACGTGAGTCTTGCTTTTACTTGTTGCAGTGAGAAGAGCGGAATTGCTCCCCAGTTTCGCAAGTTCCTTTCCATCTTTCGGGGATTGGTCCCATGCCATGATCCGAAAAGCTTTCCGACTCTGGCCATACTCCTGGGAAAACCAACATTAGTCCAAGCCCTCTGCCATGCTAGCAAAGTTGGCGGACCTTCTCCTGCCAACCATGAAAACAAGAAGAAAGAGAGAAATACCTGAATCCAAAACACCAATGATAACGTCCTTGCCGAATTTTGATTTCTTCCATAACCACGATGATTCAGTAGCTTCACTAGCACCAAACAAGGATTTCTCTCCACTTCCATAGAGTCCCAGAAATTCCCATGAGTTTGTGGTGTGGACCGTGTGGATTTCATTGCGAAAGACGGACAAGACGTTTGGGAGGCCTGCAATATGGATAAAGACTGACTTAGATTATGTATAATGTTTTTATGATGCGTTACCAGAGAGTTGAGCAGCTTGTTCTTCTGTCAAACGAGCCGAGAAGCCACTAAATCCATGCCTGTAGCTAAAACCGATTGATTCTCTGGCAGCTTTGACACTGGAATACACGAATTTGGATGAATTCATAATTTCTTCTGGAGTTTTACCTTCCTAGAACATCCCCAAGGAGTGCGTGATGGGAGCTTGTAACAGCGTCTGGATGGAGGGATTTATCGACATTCCCCAAATAGACAATGTGAGTGTCTCCTTGATCTCGTCCCTGGAAATAAAATCAAACCATGGGCTTTAAGAGATTGTCTCGTGCGAGATAAGAAAGGCAAAGACCTGAGAGATGGACATGGCACTTAAACTTAGAAGAAAGTATAAAAAGATTGAGAGCGCCATGAACTCGAAGAATTGTATTTGAGAATTGCAGGAAGAAGATGTAATCATTTATATTGGAAACTGCGGAAAATTTCCTGTGACGCGCATCTCAGGCCGCCTTGTTTGACTGGGCTAGTGATGTTAAGTATATCACGAGTTTACAAATTATAGCTCATTGGAATACGACTTATTCAGGAGAATTTGTCGTTGTTAAATTATATCACAAGAATTTAGCATCACTAGCTGACAGATTATAGTAGTTCTTTCTCAGCTTGATTGATTTCCAAGGACAAGGAGGAAAACACTCATGGGGAGTGTTCTTCATCCAGACGCTGTTAATACTGGTTTGCATCACGTACTTCTCCCTCACACGCACACAGGCTGAGGCTTCTCCATGCGGTTTGGGCCCGGGAGAGTCCTCCCCCCTTCCTCCCTCCGTCACACGGCAGGTGGGGGCCCCTCCCCTTTCCCGCCGCCCCCGAGGCTTGCTTCCCTTGGAAGCCCAGAGGACCACACTGCTGCCTCCCTCCCCCTTGCCCAACAGGTGTGTGGATGTGGCCCCAAGGCCATGCCATGGACCACACAGCACGACTCTGCCGAACGCTGGAGCGGGTGCCAGGGAAGCCACGCCGAGGCTCTCTCCGCGGCCAGGAAAGATGGGTCTAGAATATTTAAAATTAAAATTATTGTTATATTGTATATTCTTTTTAAAGTTTTTCCTTCAGTTCATGAAGTAGAATGAATGCTTAGAGTGCATGTTGGGGATGAAAAAACATCATGGACATAAAATTGGGCAACATCTTTCTAAGGTTTGGAGAAAGCTTGTTTGGGAAGTTTAATTTCTATCAAGGACTCATTAACTCTGAAATAGCCTCAATTTAACTGAGAGGAGTCCTGTGAAGATTCATGTTTAAGCAGACCCCCCAACTTCTGTGACCATCGGAGAAAGTGAGTTGTCTCTCCCTTATTTCAATCTTCGCACCTAACAGTACTGCATCACCGAACGGTAAATGTGTTTTGATGCTAGTTTATCAAGATTTGCGTTTGTCAATCCTTTTTACGAAGTTTTTGGCCACCATACCTACCACTGAAATAACAGGTCCACGTCGATATCATATCGCATTGGTATTCGCACCGGTATATACTACTCGAGGCTTGGAGAGCAGCAAAGTAAAAAAGATATGGGGAGCGATGCCAAGGATCTCGTCAAGCACACCAAGCTCTTCATCGATGGGCGATTCGTGGACGCTGTCTCAGGTTGTGATCTTTGCTTTTCTCGTGCTTTTGTGGTGAGAGTGAAATGGTTTTGTCGATCTTTCGCAGGCAAGACGTTCCCCACTTTCAATCCCAGCAACTCGGAATGTATTGCTCAAGTCGCCGAGGGAGACGCGGCGGATGTGGATCTGGCCGTGAGAGCCGCGCGCGAAGCGTTTGATCACGGGCCCTGGCCACGACTTGCTGCTGCTGTGAGTTCTTCCTTCTTCCTTCTTACTTATCTTTTGTTCATGCTCGTTTGATAGGAAAGAGGAAGGATACTTTACAAGTTCGCGGATGTGATCGAGGAACATCTCGACGAACTGGCAACTCTTGAGACCCTCAACAACGGAATGTTGATCGATCTAAGCAAGGGGATAATTGCGGGTTCGGTTGCCTCTCTGCGATACAATGCAGGTACTACAAACATATTTTCAATATCGAAACACTGCTGAACCAGTGGAGTGGCTTTTTTTTTCTCAGGCTGGGCTGACAAGCTCAATGGAAAGACCTTGCGAACTGATTCTACTCGGATGTGCTACACCCTTTTGGAGCCAATTGGTGTGGTTGGAGCGATTGTTCCGTGGAACTTCCCGGCTCATATGTTTCTCAACAAAGTCGGGTCTGCGTTAACTTGTGGAAATACGATCGTTGTCAAGGTTGCCGAGCAGACACCTTTGACAGGACTGCTCCTGGCGAGTCTTTCTCAAGAGGTAAGAAAGACTTGCACTACAAAAAGTCATTTTTTCTTCACGAATATAGGCAGGGATTCCCGCGGGAGTCCTCAATGTTATTCCTGGTTATGGTCCCACTGCAGGAGCCGCGATTTCGAAGCATATGAGCGTGGATAAGGTAAGAAAGCTTGCAATTGAAAAGAAAAGTTGAAAAAAAAAGTTGAAAAAAAAAGTTCATTTTTTCCTCAGGTGACATTTACTGGTTCCACTGAAGTTGGAAGAATGATAATGGAGAGTGCTGCGAGAAGCAACTTAAAGCCCGTCACACTGGAGCTTGGTGGCAAATCTCCGTTTATAATCTGCGAGGATGCCGACTTGGACTCGGCTGTGGCCGTCTCTCAAAATGCCATTTTCATGCATCAGGTGAAATTTTCAGGATGGGAACTTGTTTGGAAATGATGACATGTGTTTCAGGGACAAGTCTGTGTTGCTGCATCGCGAGTCTTTGTTCACGAAAGTATTCATGACGAGTTTATCAAGAGGTCTGTCAAGCTGGCAAGCGAACGTGTAATTGGAGATCCTTTCCAGTCCGGAGTCCAAAATGGTCCCCAAGTAAGAAAATATCCTCTCTTGATCTTTCGGAAACTAGTCACGAACTGTTTTATCAGATCAACCAGGAGCAGCTGGACAAAGTTTTGAGCTACATTGAGTCGGGAAAAAAAGAAGGTGCCAGCCTTCTAGTGGGAGGCAAACGCATTGGCGACAAAGGATTTTACATCCAGCCAACAATTTTTGGAGACGTCAAGGTTTGCTGTGTTAAAATTCTCTTACTCTTTTCTCAAAACATCCAGGACATTTGTGTAGCAATCCATGAAGATTGCCAACGAGGAAATCTTTGGTCCCGTGCTTTCAGTGCTCAAGTTCAAGTAAGAAAGCTTCGTTTATGCCTTGGTTTATCTGATGGTAATTACTTCACTGAGTCAGGACTCTTGACGAAGCCGTGGAGCTTGCAAACAGCACACACTACGGTCTAGCAGCGGCGGTCTTCAGCAAAAACATTGACACAGTCAATCTTCTGACCAGGTCGATCAAATCGGGCGTTGTCTACGTGAATTCCTACCTGAGAGCAGGACCAACAGTACCGTTTGGAGGCTACAAGATGAGTGGAATCGGCCGAGAGAATGGATACGAAGGCTTGCTTCCATATCTCCAGCACAAGTCCATTCTCATGCCTCTGGAAAACTCTCCTTGGAATTGACTCTTTCTTTTTTCTTGTTTCACTTGTTCTGATACCGTCTTTTACAAGATTTGGCAGTGCTTGTTCACCCAACAATCGATCAAGGTAAGTTACTAGTTCAGCTTCCTTGTTTCTTTTTGCTGATTCTCAGTGAGTTTTCCAGAGGCAATGCATAGCTTTGATAACAGGAAATGGTTCCATGTCGTGTATAATCACGTAAAGTTTTTTTATTCTGTTCTCAACGAGGAACTTTGCAAGCTCGATCCTAAAAGGCACACGAGGATCTTCTTTGTCAAGTCCAACAGGATCACTGCTCTTCACAAGTTCCGAAGTGTCAACAGTGACAAGAAGTAAGCATGTTTTATTCTGGTTTACAGTGATTTCGGAACATCATCTTTTTCTTTTTTTCTTTGCAAATTGAAGCGTCTAGGATCCGGGAGTGAAGTTGGTTGCATACGCCCAGGCATTGTTGACGGTGGGGTTGTCAAGGTGGTCGAGCAAGTTCTCGATGGGTCCCTTGCCTGTAACAATGGCCTGAGTGAAGAAACCAAACATGGAGAACATCGCCAGTCTGCCGTTCTTCAACTCCTTCACCTTGAGCTCAGCGAAAGTATCCGGGTCGTCAGCGAGTCCGAGCGGATCAAACGCACCTCCGGGGTAGATCTTGTCCAGCCCCTCGCCGAGCGGTCCACCTCCAATTCTGTAGCCTTCGACGGCTCCCATGAGGATAACTTGGCTGGCCCAGATGGCAAGGATGCTCTGTGCGTGGACGAGGTTGGGATTTCCCAGGTAGTCGAGGCCACCTTCCTTGAAGATCTGCGAGCCGGCCTTGAACCACACAGCCTCGCCAAACTTGATGCCGTTCTTGGCGAGGAGCTCGGGGGTGACGCAGCCGAGAGCTCCGAGCATGGCCCAGCGGGAGTGGATGACTTCGAGCTCCCGGTTTTTGGCGAACGTCTCGGGGTCGGCCGAGAGACCCGCGGTATCCCAGCCGTAGTCGCCAG